CCCCAAAACCCCAAAACCCCAAAACCCCTCTTTAAACCCTAACAATTGAAAATTTTATTGGTGAAACCCCAAATTATATAAGCTAAAGAGCCACCAGTGCCGAGATTTAGATCCTAGTTTAGAGGGATTTTAGTGGATGGAGACGGTGGGGAAGGAAGATGGAGACGGTGGGGAAGGAAGATGTGCAAATGAAGGAAAAAGATAGGGAGATATCATATCTAATCAAAATGATTTTTTCTATCTGTATAAACTCTGTTATTTTCATGTAAAAATTAAAAGAGAATCATCAACTTAACTTTATAAATTTGATAGGAAAAATTACATCTAATTTGGCAATTTTTTACATGATTAAACGATAACGCACTTTATTTAAACTCCAAGAGTTAAAAAATTCAAAGCTTGTATTTTATTTTTATGGAAGAAGATAAAGAAACAATGAATTTAATAGATCAACAGGTAAGCTTCTAAAACTAATTTAACTAATTCCTTTAGGAATTTATGGAAACCCAAGACTGGCCAAGTGATCGAGGAGATTTTTGATGGAAAAGTTTGAGTGATCACCCTGATTCAGCATGACTGTTAGAGGACATCTTTGGGCAGAGATGAGTTGAGTTTTTGAAGACTACCAAGTTGAATTCATATCTTTTATGTAATTAGACAGCTTTTTGTCATAATTTTTGTTTAAGGAAAATTGACTTAACTTATAGGATGCTTACTGAAAGTGAAACCTACACAAAGGTAATTTTATTTAAAAAATGCATTATTAAATTTTATTTAAACTCAGACAAATGCTAGAATATTTATAGCTGAAAAACAAGTGGATTTTGAGATATTGGTCAAAATTATTCTTTGATTAAAAATACTATCAAGCCTACATGCTGGAGTTCAAATGTTCCTCAAAAACAAGATGTTTATGAATGTGAAACAGAAGCAACATCTAATAGCGCAAACGAATTTAAAGGTATGATAAAAAATTTCCCCAATATAGAATATTCGGACAGCCAGTTATTATATGTCAATAATGACTTCCAGTACATCGAGAAGATCGGTGAACTGACTGAAGCTCAATGCTCACAAATATTACAGCTATTCTCGTTAATAAATCAACAAGAAAATGCTAATTTTACCATTCTCTCTGAACTTGAGTTCAATGACATCTTCCAATCCTGAGGTTTCAAGACAAATATCACACAAAAATAGGTAACTTAACCCCCTCAACCACCATAGCCACTCCTCTCACACTCCAGACCTCCCCACACCAAAATACCAGAGCGATCCTGCCCAAAACAGATACATGAGTATCCAAACCAACAACTACGACCTCTCCGTCAAAGAATCAACCGAGCGAAACTACATATAAACGAAAACCCTGACTTCTACAAGCTAGGAGCCAGAAGGGTCTACAAGAACATGAACCTAGTAGAACAGATAAGAAGAGTTATCCAACTCTTCTTCAGTGAAGAGCAGGATGCAGGAGAAGAAGGATTTTTGGAAATGCTGAATTTTAGTAAAATTATGAGTTAGAGTTGGATTTTAGGGGGTTATGGTGAAAGGAAATTTTGGGATTTTGGGATTTTGGGAGTTTGACTGGGGTTTTGGGGTTTTGGGGTTTTGGGG